AAAAAAGAAAAGGAGAAAGAACAGCACCTTGAGGGACACCAGCTTCAGTAGGCAATGAAGTGGAAGACTTCCCTTTATATACGGTGTACTGCTTTCTATCTGAGAAATAGGAATGTAACCAGTTAACAGCCCAACATTCTGTTTGACTAGCAGCAAGTTTATTTAATAAGATGTCCCTAGGGACCGAGTCGAAAGCAGATGTATAGTCTAGGAAGGCGCAACGAACAAATTTAGCCCCCTTGTCTAGACTGGAAGCAATGTTATGATATAAGACGGCAGCTGCATCTAAAGTGCTTCTACTGTGCTTATAGGCAAATTGTTTAGGGTCATTAAAGGATTTAAGCGAAGGTACAAGACTAAGTAAAAGTAATTTCTCCATAGTTTTCAAAAAAGGAGAGGTAATAGCAATGGGTCTAAATTTGACACATGCTCCAGTAGATGATTTAGGTATGGGTACAACTTTAATGTCCTTCCAAACGGCAGGCACAATATTATCGGAAAAAGATTTGTTAAATAGATCAGTAAGAGGGTGACACAGAATATCAGAACATTTTTTAAAAATAATACTAGGTACATAATCGGGACCTAAGCTCTGGGAAGGGTTTAGAGACTTGAGGCACTTTTGAACATCATTTGTGTTAAAACCTGGAAAGGGGCTATTATTAACACAAGTGATGCTGGGAAGCATGGCATTTGAGGGAGAGTAAATAAAAGATTTGTTAAGAGTACATACATCAAAAGAATATGGAATATTGTTTATCTGCTTACCACCAGTGATTTCCTTAAATAGTTTCCACATATTAGAAGGATTTTTGCAGGATATGAATTTCTGGTTATATATTACATTCAACCTCTGCATTTCAGACTTAATTAAGAAGTTAGTTCTTTTTACACCAATTTTATCTTTGATTTTATATAGTTTTTCCTTCTCTCTACGAAGCTTTTTAAGTTGAGGCGAGGAGAAACGGTCAAATTTGACGAATAGTGTTTCTTTTGGACAACAGATTTCAAAACAGAATTTCAGATAGGATGTAATATTAGAGATATTGTCATCAAGTGAATCATCATTAAACAAATCCCATCTTGTGTCACTGAGCATGTTTCTAAGATGATGTACGTTCTCATTTGAGTAGCATCTGTGAACAACTTTCTTAGACAAGTTTGAGAGGGCTTTACTGTGTAACTTTCCGTAAATTTTGGGTAAGACTCGTACAATACAATGATCAGAATTGAAGAGCGGGGCTCTTTTACGAGCTTCGTATATTCCAGAATCATTTATAAATACTAAATCAAGTGAAGTATTTTGTCGAGTTGGGAAATTAACAACATTTTCATGGCCCAGCAATGTAATAAAACTGCAGTCGCTGGAGTTGAAGTCGCCAGTCACTATAGATAAGGAGTTACCAAACGAAGCAGCAGCAAAAATAGTGAATTCATCAGCGAAGATAGATAGTTCTGAGGGACTGCAACAAGGTGTGATATAGATATTTGTGACAAAAATGAAGCTATACTTAGGTAAGTGTTTAGGTCGACATTTTACAGTTATACAGTCAATATTGTCATTTGAGAATTTGAAGCAGACGTTGTTGGCAGTAGACCACTGAGAATTAATAAAAGTGGCAACACCACCACCTCTCTTCTTCTTTGAGCTGCATCGGTCTTGTCTGTAGATTGTGAACCCACTTAAGGAGACTAAATTATCGTCATATGAATCATGGAGCCAAGTCTCTTGAAGAGTGATTACACCAGTATTACAATATACATTTGAGTATAATAGAGAATGCAAGTAGTTAATCTTGTTCGATAATGACCTGCAATTTGTGCTCATAATCACAGGAACAGTCATCTGATGCATTGGAGTACACTTTAATGATCTCTGCCAACCTCCATGATGCTTTTTCTTAACGTTATTATATACTCGTAAATCAACAGGTTGAAAACATTTTAAATAATCGCGAGAGTAAGTAATGCGACTTGGATACATAATTGAATAATTAAAACAAAATAAATCCGAGGAAATAGATGCAATATGTAGGATGGAAATTATTAACACAAGCGATGCTGGGAAGCATGGCATTTGAGGGAGAGTAAATAAAAAATTTGTTAAGAGTACATACATCAAAAGAATATGGAATATTGTTTGTCTGCTTACCACCAGTGATTTCCTTAAATAGTTTCCACATATATTGTAATTTGTGTAATTTGAAAGCTTAAATCTAGTCATTTTTTATAAACGATGCTGTTATCCTGAATACCTTGTTCATTCTCCCTCTAACCGTCACTTTCTCTCTCACTCTATGTGTCATGTGTGTGAAGGTTTATACCATTGTTATATATATATCGTTTCAAATGTCAACCATGATGACGTTTAAACATTAGACTTGTTAAACATGTAGAGAGGAGTATTTGTTATTGGAATTGAGTAGTCTCCTCATCAAGTGGATTGAATGGCAGGGATAGGAAGGGAATCATATATAGTATTATTATAATGATCATTTAGTTAGTATTAATATGGGATTCAATACTTCCGGCGTGTCCCAAATTCTTATCACAATCTCATTCAACACGTATATGATGATAATGCCACACATGTCAAGTGATCTACAACGGAAAACTCACTGAAACTTTTGAAGTGAATACAACAGTAGGAGAAGGCTGTCTGTTTATTATTATTCATAATGTTCCTAATCGTGGTGGACTAAATTATGCATCAGACTGTACATGTCAGTGAGAAGACAGGAATACGTTGGACTGAAAAGAAGACCCTACAAGACTCTGGATTTCGTAGGTGATTTGTGTGCAGTGTCACACAAACTCGAAGACTTACAGGCGAGGCTGGTAGGAAGGGCAGGACTTAATGTAACTTATAGAGAAGACAGAGGTGATGAAGATAACCCAGTAACCACAACAACAACCAGCACTAATCACTATTAACGAGGTAAATTTGAAAGAGGTCACTTCCTTCACTTATCCAGGCAGCGTCGCTTTAATGATATAAGAATAAAACTTGGGCACTGTGGTAGAGTATAACTTCATTATGGATAAGATTTTATTTTGATAAATCTTATCTATAATGGAGCATCGCTCTAACCAGAATCGGAAAGGCAAGGGACATTTTCATTACTCTGCATTGAGTATAAAGAACAAGGTTCGGATTTTAAACACCAATTTTATGTCACTTAGTTCTTTTAAATGGGTTGGAAACTTGACTCACATGTCGCGAAAAGCATTTCAAATGGTCTGTAGACTTTTATCAATAGTTGATGTCGCTGGCTCCTTAACGAAGACCAAGTGACCACAAAGAATTAACATCAAGAAACTCTAGAAACAAACCAAACAAGAACCTATCTCTTAGCGAATATTCCGGAGAAAATGGAGATGTATAGGATATACACTGAGTGAGTCGTTGGGTGTCATTGCGCGCCAGGGAGTTGCTCAAATGGAATCCGAATCGCAGGCGACAAGTTGAGCTTTGGTCCGAGGGTGATATGAAGGAGACCATGTGAAGAGCAGATGAGAGACGAGAAAAGGGTGACAGGAAGATGTGCTGTTGAAGCCCTATGTTCCACTCGGAACCTAAGGGAACTATAATAATACGGGATATTTTGAGTAATGAATCTAATGTCATCACAAGAATGTGTATCGTCCATTGTGTTACCGGCATCATTAGTAAACATTTGTGTAAACTTTAGGAAGTTATATCAGACCCAGTGGGTTAGTCGCTGACGAAATCTCAGCACGCATACAGAAGGCTCGTCTGGCATATAACGACTTATGACATCGCTGGCGTAGACGTGATATCCGGCTGGCTATCGACTAAAGGGCGTGTGTACTGCTCAGCAGTTCTTTCTGTCCTCCTCTATGGTTGGCTGTGAGACATGGTTACTGAAATTGGAAGACTTGAAAAGGCTAACTGTCTTGGATCATAGGTGACTGCTTTCTATCTCCCGTGTGAAATGGTATAATAGAGTGAGCAATATTGAGGTTAGGCGTTGGTCGAATGCTACATATGGAAGGGAAATTAATCTATAAGGTTGTGAGGTTACACCGATTGATATGGTTAAGATATGTGTTGCTCATGCCTAGCCATCGCCTTCCTCGACGCGGGCAATGTTGGTTGGCATAGGGTCGGGTTGGAAAAGAGATAGTGGCATTAGTCAATGAAATCCACAGCATTTAGTTTAACCGGTCACATAGAGCGGTGTAAACTTCCTGGTTGGATTTCTCGGGATGGTAAAAACCAATGGCTGGAGACAATTGGTGATATGGCTCAAAATCTTTTTCAATGGCTGGTGCAGATACATTCACTCTTTGTTGATTTACAATATCCAATAAAATTCTATTGATCTTCCATATGTACTATTCCTTTCGCCTCACCTTTCTCTTTATTATCTCTCTCTCTCTCTCTCCTGTGAATCTCCCTTTACCCTCTACTCTTGGTTTGTGTGCGACAAGTAGGGAGAGTGGCAACTCGAACTGCTGCACATCTGTGCAAAGTTCTACGTTGAAACCAGTCAGTCAGTCCGTCAGCGAACTTTTATCTGTTGCATTTTCTTAACATAATTCCCTTGATTGTAAGTGTAGAACTTTGGCACGTGGTAGAATGTAATTCGATATTGGATAAGTTTATTTTGAATATCACTGAGTTATATTCAAAGTAAACTAATATGTAAGGTCCAATTATTGAATTTCAACCGTACTTAGGTTCTAGCTGATTGGTTGGTTGTTTAGTACAAAGTTAGTAACAGTTGGTAACAACAGATTGGTACAAGATTTTAGTTTACTGGATACATGAGTATAGATTTTATCGCCTTTACTTCTAAAGGCAATTGATGTGAACAGTACTCATACAAATGTATACTCATATTCCACTCAGTTAGCTGGCGTATATATTTTACACGAAGTCGGTAATTTCAGTATTATTTATCTGTTAAACTCACTTTTGACCTTCGATGTACGTTCAATATATGTTTTATTAACATATTTATTTTCCACTTTAGCTTAGTAATGCGAATGATCTTGCTCATTTATCATCGGAATTCGATAGTGCTACATCAGTATTGGCTAGTCCAGCTAAATGTGGTATGTTTATCGACTACTTATTTTCTCATAAACGGGATCCTACATGGGTGGTAAGTATTCATGTTTTATATGAATTATTTATTTAATGTCAATGTGGTGGATGTTTGGCTAGTTTTTGGTCAAGTATTTATATTCATCCAATGTACAACACATTTTCTACTAACTCTGAAATATTATTTTCTGTAGTTTAAATTCATTTAGAAAGGTTTTTTAATGCATTATGTGTAGTCCTATTTGTGACTACCAAAACTGACTCATTGTGGTCTGAACTCAGGAAGCCGATCTCGACTGATGAAACTTCCTTAAGAAACGCACAGACATAAAACGATTCAAAGACTGGCTATTCGTCGATAAATCGTTTCTTCTACTCAACATTAATAAAATCAAAAATTCAAAATTACCTCAACATTGCCGTTAGACAGCTAGCTATACAGACAAGATATTCTCTTAAGTACAAAACAACTCCTATAGAACAAAATCAGCTGACCAAAATTCAACCGTAAGAATTACCTGAAAATTAGGTAGAATATTCCCAAAATGGTGGGATCAAAACTCTGTTCACAAGAATTACACACCAGTAATTCCCACAGACGACAGTCCAAGATCAGAATGACCTTCATCTTGTCCATATATCCCTACATGGGGATACCTTAACCCTACCTATGGATTTTATGTTAAAGATTGAAAGAATGTAGCACTATAAGCGAACTAGTAGACCACTACAAACAATGTATGTCATAAACTTCAGAAACATATATCGTCATGAATGATCAGCTTCGCTTTGACTAATTTCTTTTTTCATTCCTGTACGTTTGCAGTGGAACATAGGGCTTCAAGCTAGAGAAGCCTGAAGTTTTGGTAGCAATGGTTTTTTTTAGTTTTTTACGGAATGGGGTTACCAGCTTCATGCACAACCTCCCCTTTTTACCAGTATTATTACTAGTTTAGCGAGGTAAAGGAATGCGTCGACTGGGGATCGAACTCCGGACCACGTGTGTGTTTGGCGAGGGTTCTACCGCTATGCCACTGAATGATTAGCTTCGCTTAAACTGATGAATTATCTCAATGTTCATTCAGTATAAATCATGAACAATTCCCCTCTCCATTTATTGTTTTAGTCATCGCATTTTATCTCTGCAACGCGTCAACAATTCATGTACACTTATAATCAGATTTCATTTTTTTTGTGGTGCTTATAGCTCCACGATAGAAATGGAAGAATGACGTAGAGGATTGGGATTTTACTTTGGGATGGAATAATACTGAGTCACATGATATGGTGTTTACTGCTGTTTTACATATGCAAAGGGTGAATATATTCCAGTGTAGATATGTTGAGAATTATGAACTACTTGTCAACGCCGTTGTCTAGGTTACTATCGTTATTATTATTATTACTATTATTCTAGATGGCCTAGATAAATGGTGGGGGGTTGTACTTCGTTAAAACAATTGTTCACTTCCTGTCTGTTTCTAGTGTTCTTTAGGTGATTAGAATTGGAAAAATTAAAACACAAAGATTTCTGGTAGCTTAGGTTTCTACAACTATTATTTCGTCTAGTATATCTTAGTTACACAAAGTAATTCTTTTTCATATATCTTTCAATTGCTCATATCATCTAACAGTGTTCAGTCATAAATCAATATTTTCCTACCTATCGTATATCACTTCTTTTTAGTTATTCTATCTTGTCAATCAATATTTTCAACGATCTATGGCTGCATCTAAAGAGTTGTACAAAGATGAGAAACGTGTATGCCTTGAAATATTTACAACATTTCTACACGAAAAATCTGTAAGTGACTATTTGTTTGTTTGCCTTTATTTAATACGTCAGTCAGTCTCATTTAGTGTGACGATATCGTTTGCAAATAAATATCAATAACATGTTATTGATTGTCTCTCTCTCTCCCTCCCCCTTATGTTTATGCGTCGTCGAAACGTCATACTTTTTTTTCACTTTGACAATAAGGTTTTGTCAGTGTTCACCAGTGATCATTGTACCATGTATAATTTTGTATCTATACTTTTGAGTTTGCACTTTTTTATTGATTTCAGTGTCAAACAAATATTTTATTTTCCTTTTACTCGGTTTAAGTGTGATAGCTTCACTATGTGTTGACTTCTAAAATTATAAAGTGCTTCAATTAACCAGTTCCAGCATGCGTTTAATTCAACTTATCCACCTATTAGTGTTTTAACCTCTTGGAGACTATGTAACGAACAAAACCTACACTCTGTAGTTTGAACTCTGGAAACTGATCTTTGCATTCTGCTGTATAGCTAACCAAAACCTGCCCGAGTTACGCTTAGTCTCAAAATGCACTAACGACAACAAAACGACAGTTGTTACCTTAACAAAGTTGTTAGGAAGCTAACCCGACCTATAGCTGCTATCTTGACGTGGTGGTCGGGCTTGCATATCACAATCGTCCCAACAAGCTACACTAGCTGGGACTAATGTTCTTGCAGGTTCTACCATACCACGAAGATACCGATTAGACTAAAAGCAGTTACTGACATAGTGTAAGATTCTCTTTACACTATGCTGGGGGTCTGTGGGCGAAGTCGTACTGCTGGGAACAGGGATGTAACAGTAGTGAGGCGTTTCTCTCAGACGACAAGCTATGCTGTTTTGATCCCAAAAATTGTACATCCGGATTTACCCTACGGTGGTCCGTAACCGGTGGTAAATTTACTAATACGGAACCAATCCAAGAAGCCGGTACATATAGGCCTCGTGTGACCGGCCTCAAGCATTTGTCCCCTGGGCTCTGCGGTCGTGCAACAGTAGGTTCCTTTTCAATTCTGTCTGTCTGTTTTCGACATAGAACTTTTCACTGGTGTGCGTCGGTGGCACAGTGGTTAGGACTCCGCCGACCATGCACATGGTCCGGGGTTCGAGCCCACGCCGACGCACTCCTGATATCTATGGTCGGCCTGCGAATTTTGAGCTACCGCTATCCACACTGAAAATTCCGCATTTGTACCAAAAATACGATGTGCAATCAAGCTGTAATCAAAAATAAAAAAATAAATAAAAACAAAAGTTCAAGTCGCCACACTCCCTCCTTTAAACACACAGAGCAAGAAAAGAAAGTACAAGAAACGCATAACAGATAGTAAGCAGAGGTAAGAGTAACAACGAAGAACAAAACAGTTTCATTGGAAATCATAAGTCACAAGGAGTGGATGCATCTGCGTTGTGATTGAGAACGATTTTGAGCCATGTCACCAATTGTTTCCAACCATTGGTTTTTACCGTCCCGAGGACCCCAACCAGTCAGGAAGTCTACACCTACGTGGCTTAGACCAACTGTTGTGAATTTCATTGACTGGTGAAGCCATGTTTTTGTTTGACCCTCGCTAGCTTTTTTCCAGCCTGACCCTATGTCCGCTAACATTGCTCGTCGAGGGAGGCGATGACTAGGCGTGCACGCGTAACACATGTCCTAACCATCTAAGTCTTTGTAACTTCACAACTTCGTTGATTGATTTCCCCTCTTCAATTACAAAATAAGTACTGTAGAATTAAATTATTTTACAAAATTGACCATAAGATGTTCCTTAGAATCAAGCCGATAATTTCCAACAAGGTGAGATCAAAAGTCTGTCAGCAAGAATCACGATTCAAGCTATTCTTGCAGACAGCACAAAGTCAGAGTGACCTTGACTCACTCAAACAAAATCGCAGTCATAAAATAACACGTCACTATCATCATACAACCACGAGGAATAACATTCAAAGAAGAGACTAAACAAAGACGAATGATAAGGGACTAGTCAATAGGTGATACGCAAACGTTAGGCCAGTGATATATAACAGTTAGTTGAGATACACAAATAAGTATTAATATTTTAATTAGATCGTTCAGATGGGATTTTCCAACCAATTATTATTACGTTACACATTGTCGCCTAATATTCACTTTCTCACTGTATTCTCTACAGGTTACTTAAATTCGATAGCTATTTGTGTTATTAAACTTGTTAAATAATAAAATTAATGATTTCAGCTTATTATTATTTTAGAATTTGTGTTGGATTTTTGAATTGTGAGGTGCATGCATTTACTGCCGACATTTTCATTAAGAGTCACCAATCCAGTATATACTTGTATTCAATGACATACTTCTATTCTATTTCTTTGCCTCTAATTTTTACTTTCTCCAAATGTGTATTAGTGTTTATTGTTTATGTTTCTAGTGAAGTTGTTTTTTTTGCCAGCTTAAGCACTTTACTTTCAATCAATATTCTTGGATTCAAATTTTGTTCGACATTTTTTTCAGTAGTAAACGTAAGCAGGTTATTAGTACGTAATAGGGAAGTTCTTTACACAGTACGTAGATTGAATTATTTACCTATTTCCACCTTCTACTTAAAAGAATTACAAAATTTCACACCTTTTCATGTTTTAGTAATAAAGAAACATTCTGCTGTATCCTAATTGTTGTATTGTAACTGGAGAAGATAAGGGAGGAACTTAATAACGGACTTTTATTAAGGAAAATCACATCGTATTTGTACATTTGTAGTCAAATTAAAGTTCAGTCAGGTTGACAAAGAATGAACTATCCTGATTGGTTGGTGATCGGCTCAAGGCCAAATAACTTGTCCAATGAGGTTATTTTATGTTCGCAGCGTAAACTAAACACAGATTTGAATAACAAACCCTTCTACCTCTGCAGTCAATCGTTGACTTAAAATGTTGATTTCAATTTTGACTGCTTCCTATTAATCTGCATTACGCCACACTACCAATTATACATTTAAACATAAGTTTCAACACATTTCTCAGGGATATATAAGGTGGGAAGACAATGAGTCCTTTCGTGTATTATGCAAAATCTTATGATAATTTTCAATTCACTTACAAAACCTCATGATGAATCGATAGAGTAGTCTGTGAAGATTATATGTTACTTGTCTTCCAGGCCCTTATATAAGTAATGGTTACCTTCTTAGTTAGTTGCCTTTGTCTTTTATGTATATTGTAAGTGGTTGAGCAGAGGTTACCCTGGCAAGAAGTAATTATTTTAACTGTTCTATTAGTTTTATTTTACTCGATATATATATATGCCGTTCGGCATTGTTGGCAGTCATTTTCACTCGTTTAAAACATTTCACAAAAAAGTACATCCTACTGTTATCTGGTAATTCTATAATTTTTCTACTTTGTTTTTCTTTCGGCGGGGGGGGGGGTGAGCGAGTGGAGAGGCGGTCCGTTAACAATTTTTACTTATAGATTTTTAGGTTTCATAGATAAAAAGAAAGAAAACAGTAGCTGTCAATTTTTACGTAAATAAATGAATAGAAAGTTTTATATTTTTTTTGTTTATACTCCTGTCTGCTACCCCTAACACATCTAAATGGCATAGTGTAGAGACAGCAGGGGAGAGTGGGGCCATTAACCTAGATTCAAAGTGTTTAGAAGTTCAGATATGTTGCAAGCGCACCACTCTAAATACATTATTGTTCGCGTACTATTCATCAATTAAATTGTGTAGAAGACGGTTGTAGTGAATGTTTTGTCCTCTAAAAGTCTGACTAAAAATGAATTAAATAAAATTTGGATAAAAAACTAACCTGAATATAACAGTCTTTTTTTTGTCACCTTTAATACACCATTAGTTCACGAATAAATAACCTAGCAGTTAACTTAAACAATTCAGAGTTTTGCATAGAAGCTCATTCATCATTGTTGCTATACAACAACAGATAAAGGCTTCATTAACACTGAAACATATTGCTCAATGTTCCTAGTCCCTTGGTGTCATCTCTTTGTCACACTAATTTTATCCTGTCAACACATTTACTAGAGACGTGGTTCACTGGCTTAAGTTCACTTCCAATAGGTCCCGGATCCAAGTCCCTCTCCACCTACTTCAGCTGGAGTAGTATCGACAGCCCTCACACAATAAGTATAGCTCATAAGCTGGGACATAGAAGACCTGTGTTTCAGGGATTCGAATTCAAGCACAAGCACACCACTTGTAACATCTATCGAAGATTGCTTTGACATTGAGAATGTTGTCCAGAAAGATGATGAGAGCTTTACAATTAAATCAACCAGTTAAGAGAACACAACTAATTCACAGAATCATCCACTTGAGCTATAAATCTTCGCTATAATTGCTTTGATATGTTGGTATAATCTGAGCATCTGAAAATCAAACAGGTTTACAATGCACAAACAGTTTGTATGTGAATGTTGATGACACTAATTCCTTTCGATGTTGTTTTTTTGTTTGTTTTTTTTCTCCAGCCTTTACGTTTAGACATACGAACTCCGATTTCACTAAAATCATTTGACTTTCATGAATGCTCAAAGTTGTTCAACACCATTAGTCAGACATGCTTGAATCAAATACAGACGCAGGTTTCCAAATTGGCCGAAGCCATTAATCTTGGTTAGTTTCATATTCTCCTCATTATACATATGTATTCATCTTTCATTGGTGTTAATGTTTTAAACATAGTACAGAATATACTAGATTGCAAGGTGTATTATTTACTCCTTGTTCAAGTTTTTTTTCACAAGATGGCGACCTACTTTATAGATCACCTTTTCCATTTATCAAAAGGCATCACGTTTACTGCATTTCATATTGCTTCAACCATTCAACTGCGTTCACGACTTGTCAACTGACTCTCATGCACATTTCGTAAAGAGTTTCAATCTACCGCTACAATTGTTTTGAAGGAAATTCACGAAAAACTTCTCGTAGAAACAGAGCATGCTTCGGTTGGAACAGTGTTGTTTTAGAGTGATGTATTATCGATTATTATACTACTTGAAGATCTTGTCGTTCAGCATTCTTTAGAACCTGTGCGTTATTGATTTATAGAACTACTTTTTTGTCATTGGATGTGGGGATTGTATTATCCATAAATCATGCTTGACGTGATTTTGAGATATTTCTCGCACTCTGTCCACCAGGATCTATTTTATGATCTTTACAAAAGTTCGTCTTCATGGTTGTACATATCTGTCACACAGTAGTGACTAAGCTGTACTAAAGTACATCGCAGCAACTTAGTTGAAAGGTTTGAGTATTTTTTCTTTTAGCCTGGTGACTGGATACTAAAAGGAAATGCGGAACGTATATGTATTATCACGTTTCATTTTATACTTTTCAGGTACACGCGTATATTTTTGTGCAGCCATGCATTTATTCACATGCTGTTTTCTTAAGATTATAGACCAGAAATGTTAAAAAACACGAAATTTTGGTTTAGAACATCCTAGCCCCTAAAATCAAAGCAGACATATACACTGTGGTGTACAGGGTTGTTAGACTAAATTCTAAGCTTGGTCATCAAATCTCGATTCACATGCACAACTGATTCGCGTGCATTAGTTCTACAGTGGACATCCTTTAGGCAAAGTTTCTGCCTTTATGACTGAGTGACGCAAATTTCAATGTGACAGAAGTCATATATTTTCCTCCAGGCTGTAGATTAGACCCAACAAGTACTAAGTTTAGGTTTAGAGCTTATTGTAATATAGCCATGTAGTAAACATAATCTCATGGGAAAATTAAAACAATTAGTCCCTTTGATAAATTTGAATAAGGCATTTAGAAGACAAATTTCGCGAGATGATATCATTTCGTAGTTTCTTTACAACCGCTTTACAACTAATACGGTTCACAATAATAATAAAATAAAGTTCATGACAATCACTCAGTTAAATAAAAAACGAAAGTATATACTAATGACTACGAAATGATATCATCTCGCAAAATTTGTCTTCTAAATGCCTTATTCAAATAATTTCATGGATCATTATTTTCGATAGTTATGGTCACAATTACTGAATAATCACTTGGAATTCCATGGAGTTAGCAATGAGCTACACCTAGTGATAGCAGATGTCTGTTCAAATGTCAGTAGGTTTGGCGGGGTTCGAACTCGTAGCCCAATGCTCGGAAGTTGACCGCCTAAACCAGTTATCCACAGTTCACATTATTATTGATAAAGGTTAACGTTTTTAGTGTCATAACACGATCTTTTTTGATTAAATTTCACTATACGACACTTGAGTCTTTTCGAAATGAAATTATTCTTTTCGTGAATGCATTTCTGTGGATGTTATTGATATAAAGCACTTTAGAGTGGTGTTTTAATCAGGTATATACTATGAAAGCTGTTGATGTCTGTAATTCCGTCAAAATTATTTATTCATTACGACATCCAAGAATGTCGAATTTTTGTGTCATACACGTCTCTTAGCACAGATCATCACTGTGTTTGGATTATTGAAGTTTTATCGTCAGTTGTACTAAATTTCAGTCCATTAGTATAACCACTTGTGTGTTCTTGTTTTATAAACATGTCATATTCTGCCTGTGAATTTTTCTTAATTAATAAATTGATATTTTCCTCATTTGGTTGATTACTACTTGGCAAAGTTAAACTTTCGACACCACTAACAACCAATCAGCAAACGACCTTAAACGGACCAATCACATTAAAGAGGCATATATGATGAATGAAAATGTATATTTATAGAAAAAAAGCATAAAATAGAGAATAAAAAAGTTACATGGGATATCTTTCTCGAACATGTGAGAAAAACATCTCCCAGTTTAGCATGGGACTGTCAATGGAGAAGTTACACCATATCCTGTACATATATTCATCCAAATGACCATAAATGAGGTCCATTTATAGCCCCTATCCTATTTTTCAACCTGTCCCAAAATCCTTCAATAGAATTTGAATGTGTCCTCGTAACGGGATCCACAAAATCACTTGAATGGTTGCCTCTACGATGAATATATCCCAGAGATGACAGTGAATTGTAGCCTTTCCACTCGTTGGTGTGTATAATTGACCCTCGCTTAACAAGTCTGGTAATAATAGGTATAAGAGTAGTTGCTTTTCTATCTTCTATCCTTAGGGAGAGAAGCGACTTAGCGAAAAAAGTTCCTACGAAATATTAAAATTATCAGCTTACTCTCTCTAGTGTTAGTAGGCTTCAAACATATAGCACAACGATGAACAAACCCATCAATTGATTTGGTATAGCTTTTTAAAGTCGTGATACCACCACACAAACAAATTCGCTCTTTCCGGCGCAACTGAAATCCAGGAAATACTGGAAATTGCTAACCTCCTCGAATTGCAACAATAGCTTTGTAAGGTCACGCATTAGAAATGAATCAAGCGCTATACAACATTGAACTTCGTTCGTGAACCTCATTGGATGATTCGACATCGTTCGTGAATCTCATTGGATAATTCGCTGATTGGTAGTTAGTGGTGTCGAAAGTTTAACTTCGCCTACTACTTTTCAAGAGTTAATTTGTAAGGATTTGATTTGTTTTTCGAGTTAGACCATGGATTGATATCAGTTAGGGAATCATTGAAAATCATGGAGTTCTGGACAACTGTTCCGTACTAGTTTGGGAATCATCGGCAGTACGCATCCACCGCTAGGGTTCGAACCCAGGACATTGGTTGATGGTCCCGCTAAATATTATGAATTAGTGTAGAAGTTAGAATTCATGGGTCATTGAATCAGGTCTCAGTGACTGAATCGTATACGAGCTTGTCTTGTAACCGGAAGGTCCTGGGTTCGAACCCTGGTGGTGGATGCGTACTGTCGATGAGCCCGAAACTAGGAAGAAATAGCTGTCCAATACTCCGGCGATGGTTTTCAATGCTCCTCTAACTCGAACTTGATTACTACCTTGATGACAATCTCACGTGATTTTTCATTAGAAAGTTTACTATTCACTGCCTAATATCAGTCTAGAGATTATTTTTCTCATTGTGTATAACGTTTCTCTTTATTAACCTACCGACCTACCTACTACTAATTATTAGGACACTTTAACATACTCTTGGTTTACATTAGACATATGTAATGTGAATTAAAAGTCAATCTGAACGAAGAATATTCTTTTCAATAATTTCTTTTCAGGTTCTTACAATTATAAGATATAATATTAGTTGTCGTTACAATAAAGAAGCCGGGTATGCGGCGGATACATTTTTAACGTAGAATAACAGATTAGTAGTTATGGCGTGTCAAAATAAATAGTCGTATTTGTGTGACAAACGTGCTAGGCTGAAATCGATTGCCAAAATAGTGTAAAACAGGAGACAATGGTGGTGATTAATCATAATAGAATTGTAGAGTGTGGGGTAGAAAAATTGATAAATCAGTTCAAGGTTACAAAAGGTGTCAGGTGAGTGAGAGGCTAGTACAAAGTGGTCTGTGTTAAACAGGAGATAGTAAGACTGCAATGAGAGGTTCATAATGAAATAACGAATATGTGAAATGAAACAGGTGGAGGCATATATTGAGAAAAGAGATAATATCACTAATAATAAGTCTGGATAGTATAAATGAAAATTCGATAGTATTGAGGGAATGTTTGCACGATGGGCATAAATTATGACGAATAATAATAATTGTAATTGTAATAATAAGCAAAGGAAAAAAACCAAGAGGGTTAGGGGAAGGAGCACTCTTGGTGAGAAGAAAAATCTTCAATCCAAGTTTGGCCACTGTAGGAACAGCGTCTGAACGTGTTCTTTTTGGATACAAAGTTCCGGTTTAGTCGATCTTATTGCAACAGCTTGAAAAGAAAATTCTTCGTTCAGATTGACATTTTATTCATAATATGGGAATATTTCATACAATCAAATATGTAATGTATCCAATCGAATTACCTTACGTTTATCTATTGACGTACGCTTTGATATACCAACAAAGGGTTGTGTTGGTTTGTGACCGCTTGATATACAGCTTTTAATATTTTAAAGTATTTAGGCTCAATTTATACCTTAAACATTGTTCATTATTCCACTGATTTTTAGGCTGCGTTCATCTTTATTCACTAAATACAACAATATATGTATTATATAGTTAAACTGTATACTAGATTTAATCGCAAACGTCTCTCTTTTTACTTGGTCTACTAAATCAGAGCACAAATACAGAAATATGTATGTAATTTATGTGTTTGTGTTTGGGCTTGTACCTGTGGTTGTGCTCCATTGAAGACAAAAAAAAACACAAAGTTACCTATTTTGTGTCTCTTAACTTTTATAAAAAGTATCATGTGATTCAGTTGTAAATCAGCTACAGCGTTAGTGTGAATATGTATTTTTAATTGATCAGGTAGATCATTTGAGCTAGGAGTTATGTCTATTAAATGCTTGTATTATCCTGGTTGGAGAAGATTGGTTTTGAAAAAAACAGAGCAAAATCAAAACCATTTTTGCAGATTAAGATGGTGCGCCAATCACCTAAAGAAATTATTAAGGCTTGTGTACAGAACAATTTTAACATACTTGCAAAAAGTCAGTTGGCATGAGACTCCAAAGTGTAATCACACTTTACATAGTCGATACCCAGAAAGCTAAACTTTAGACAAAAATAAATACTTGGACACAATCGCAATAGTTATAATAAAGGTAAGAGGTGAGTAAGATTATATGAAACTAGCAAATTGAGTGAGTTCAACTAAAGTCACAGAAACTAGAGACAAGCAAAGCTATACCAAATCAAAGATGAACTCAAAGATCATTCAATCAAACGAAAGGGAGAGTAAAGACATCCAGTTACCATGGTAACAAAATACTGGCAAGTGTTTCTTCTTGAACACATAAATCAGGTTTCAGTCGTTTTATTGCGATTTCTTCCCCAGACTTTAGGATAATTGAACTATATTGTCTATTGATGTGATATCCACCTCATGGTGCGTATTGATGAGATGTCTGGCAATTTCACTATTTCAAATGTTCGTTCCCTTGAGATAGATGCAGGCGTTTTAATATATGTTCAGAAAACCGAAGGTGTGTCTTTCTTTCCGTTTTCCCAATGTAACTGCTACCACAGGTATGTGTAAATTTGTATACTCATTTAGAGTTAACATGGGAAGGATGTCTGTCGACTTTGGATTGTACCGAAGCGTGTGTTGCCTTTACTACATAACACTTGCTATTGTATCCAAGCATTTATTTTTGTCTAAACTTAAACTTTCTGGGTATAGACTGTATAAGTGTAATTTCTGAATACTATAGGAGTGTCTCCTGTCAACTGACACTATATAGCCTTTTCGAGTATTTTAAAATTGTTCTCTACATGAGCTTAATAATTTCTCCAGGTTATGTGCAGCTGATGAGAGAAGCCAACGAAATAAATGATAGTGCACTATCTTATTATGCGCAGACTGTTGTATTTGCTTTATTCATATTTATAAAGGGAAATAAGTGGTATCAAAGGATTAATGATGATGATGGCCAGAAGGGTATCTAGCCTTTGAATTTCAGTTAACTGGTTTCAATATTTTTTAGATTATTATTTCACTATAAACTCTTATTCTAGTTTTTATGGTTTTAAAGAACAACTGTCTGTCTGTTTTCGACATAGATTTTTGCACATATGTGCGGGAGTTCAAGTCGCCACACTCCGTCCTTGTAGCACACAAAGCAAGAGAAGAAAGTAGAAGAAATGCATAATAGAGAGGGTAAACAGTGGTGTGAGACAAAAGAATAGTAGTGACGAAGAACATTATAGTTTCATTGGAAATAATAAATCACAAGGAGTGGATGCATCTGCACTGTGATTGAAAGCGATTTTGAGCCATATCACTAATTGTTTCCAACAATTGGTTTTTACCGTCCCGAGGACCCCAACCGGAAAGACTACATCTTCCTACATGACTTAAACTAACTGTTGTGGATTTGATTGACTAGTGCAGCCATGTTTCAGTTTGACGGCCGCTAGCTCTAATCCAGCCTGACCCTATGTCAGCTAACATTGTCCGTCGGTCGAGGAAGGCGATGACTAGGCGTGCACGCGTAACACATGTCCTAACCATCTCAGTCGATATAATTTCACAGCCTCGTCGATTGATTTCCCCTCCTTACCTAACACTCGACCGATGCCTAACTTCAATATTGCTCACCTTACTATACCACTTCACACGGGAGATAGAGCGCAGGTATCTGTGATCAAAGAAAGCTAATCTTTTCATGTCTTCCATTCCACCCGAAGAATCAGTCAATTAGAGAACAACATCACCAATGTGTGTTATTAATTTTTCGTGAAGATCTGTATATGTATTTGTTTCATGGCTTTTGTTTCTACTTTCTTCTTCTTCTTCTCTATCAGGTATGGATACTTGGTGTCTTTCAGAGCCAATCGACTTTCTCCTATTTCATAATAAAGAAGAAGAAATAGCCTGTTTTGAATCCCGTCTAAGTGGTTACCTTGATTCACTGTACCAATTAGCAATAGGTAATTGTACGGAAAATTCGGTAGCTTATAGCATTTGTCGGCTGCCCACTACAACATCATCGTCCTCGTCGTCATTATCCGTTACAAGTGAACAAATTGCTCAAGCTATAACCAGTTGTCTGGTTACGGCTCACAAGTATTATTCCATGCCTCGTTTAACAAGTGCAGATTATCCTGAAACTAGGGATACTGGGCATTCCATTAGACATAGTATTTTTGCAAGGTGAGTAAGTATATTTTTTCAAATTATGACTGAGGTAATTTCAAAATGTTTAACATGTTGAAATTGCGGTCCCTGAAGTCGTCTAGCATAATAACATTAGAGATTGGTCCTCTTCTTTACAGTCGTCTTTAGCTAACGTTTGCCCATGAGCTCTCATCTTCACTTCTTCAGTTTATCATTCGATATATTTGTTGAGTAATAAGTTATTAACTGATTCTCTGCCAAAGTTCATTGTCCCTAATTCTTTCAAACCAGTCATCTGATCTTCAGTAGCCTCTTTGAAATGCTCTAGGTGAGGTGGCCGCCGACTTCCCTGAATAATAAATAAGTGCTGACTGATTTGACATTAGTGTTGAAAATCAGAATCTTCTTTCTTATACTTGATGCAGTAAATCTCCAGATTGATTTAAGATAAATGAAGGTTTGTCTTGCTTTTCCAATCTTGATGACTTTGAAATCCTCATCCATGATGTTGCTTCTAGTTGAAAGAATCCTGTCTAGATAAGTGGAAGAAGTAACTGCTTTCAGATTTCTCTCATTAATAATGATTGATGCTTGTTGTTGTTGTTGTTTTGGGTGTTAGTGATTAGGTTTTCTCATCACTTCTGCCTTTTTTGTGTTCACTTGCCCCGACCGATAGCTGCTACCTTGACGTGGTGGTCGGTACTCATTGCTATAGAATGGTTTCAGAGCACAATGCAACCGGCACTCATCACTTCTTCAATGTTCGCACACACTTAACAATAAGCCATATATGTTACTATTGTGTGAGAGCCAATGATACTACCTGGCTGCTGAAACCTTGGTAAGAGGAGCAGGATTCAAATCCATAACCCTAGTGGTTGGAAGTTGAATGTCTAAACGAGTGAACCAAAGCATTACATTTTATGCACAGGTAATTACTGAATGATAATCACTTGTTCAACATTTCAATAGACTTTCCAAGTGTCGGATTACAGCAATTAGATGGACTTCAAGTTTTCTCATGTACTGATTTCAACTAGAGAACCATTAAAAACCAGAGAGTACTAGACAGTTGTTTCTACCCCTGTTTGACGCTCTTCATCTGTACTCATCCATGACCTTACAGGGGATCGGACGCAATACCTTCATGCTACGAGGTGAATTCGTTGACCACACATCCACTGGGACGTAATCCAATAGCCTACATCGTGATTATATTTGGGTCACTTCAGCGGGATTCTCGTCACATCATGCAGTTATTGTATATGATTAGATACCATCATTACTGTTTTCCCAACTTATTTACAAACCTAACCAGATTTGACATTCTTCAAGTATCTTCCTCTGTCTGAGCAACTTCGTTAATTATTTTTTTCAGTAAGTAGTATGTTGTTCACTTTGGATTAAGTGTTGGTTACTTTCAAAGGCAGAAGGTCTTTTCATACTGTGATGCTGGTCGAAGGTATTGACATTCTTCTAAGCTGTATCTAAGTATGCAGAAGTATTAACTCATGCATTCTAATTGACTTGAAGAGCTCAACAACCTGCAGTAACTAATCCCCAGAATTCATTTCTATTACAAAAACATTTATACTAAATCTTAGTCGAAAACTTTTCATTCAAAAACCAAAACTTCACATAGTAACTTGGATAAGTAGAAGAAAGTTTTTTTTCGTAAATCGTTTTATTGTCGATATTCCATTTTTTTGCTATTTCTATCGGTTTGTTTATTTTTCTTTACACACTGGAAAAAGGTCTTTTGAAAATCTAACTTCATCTGCATTGGGTAATGCAGTCGGCCTAGGTAACGTGTCTGGTAGTATTGGGACTGGTCTTTCATCTGCTGGTTCAAATTTATGGACAAAATTAACCCCCTATTGTGCTAAAGCGAAACAGAAATCACATTCTTTATTAAATCGTAAAACAAAAGTAAGTAATTTTAGTTGGTTAGTAAGTTAGCTAGCTAGTTTGCTTTTTTCATATTTAATTGTTTGTATTAACTGCGCCTTTGGCCATAACTCTTTTTTTCAGTACTGATTTCAGTGTTCCCATTGAATATTTTTATACATCACTGTGTTGATGCTATCACCACTGGATTTCTTCAGTTGTACTAGCTAGAACTTTTTGCATAGAATTGATTTCCTACTGTTATAGCATTTCTTTCTCAACTTATATACTTCTTTCCATGATATTTTCTAAAGTCTTGATAATTTTTTTTTCGAGGAAGCTATCCCTTAAACTTTAGCCAAGTGACCTTATGATACTTTCTTTATCTTCGTAAATAGGTCTCATATATATGTCATAATTTCTATGTATAGAAGTTGGTAGAATGTCTTTCTTTTTTACTAATTTCTTTTGTAATTCTTATATTATTATTACTATATCCTTGGATTGCGAGTGAAACATGGGGCTTTATAACCACCTCTTCACAGCACTGTGGTTCTCTATAGTCTTGGCTGGCTCTAAAATTGCCCATAACCTTTCATTTCCTCTCCATACGATCGCCTATATGTCACCCTCGGACTCACGTCAAAACTGTCGTCACCCGATCGGGTTCCACTCAAGGACCGCTTGGTGCACTGTGTTATTCAGTGGCCTTTTCATTGCATGCCCAATTCTTCTCCAGTACTGATTTAGCATTGTTGAAAGTTCAGATCTTGTCCCTAATAAAATAAGAGTAGAAATTGATTACTGTGGTGGAGTATAATTCCATTTAAGACAAGTATGATTTGATATAATTCATGAACAATCCCCATCCACACCATGAATGAAAACAAAACACGTAGTTCATCGAAGAGGCTCTTTTCGGCGATGTACAATCTCTTTTAAAAATAATCATAGTTGTTAATATTAGTCCATGCAAAAGGGGAGTTGGATAAGAGCATTAGAGTTAGGTGATAAGATGAATAATTTAATGAGTGAGTTGTAATCAGGATGCACAAAGAAACGAAGGAAAATATGGTACTATATAAGAGTTATAAGGAGTTGAAAAAAGCCTTTTTAGTAGAAATCAATAAGGTTGTCACTACGATAATAGAAGTGGTTGAATAATTCTCCTTTTTTATGCATAGCTCTGGGTTTTTTTCTAACTGAATGGCTTAGGCTTCAGCAGTGCAAAGGAGACGAATTCATATTGCGTTTGACAGGTTGTTCTTCTCTATATAGATCACTTTGAAGAAGGCGTTTGTTGACATGGAATAACCGGTGTTGACAACGTGCCCGATTATCGCACTCCTTATAGAACCACTACTATCCTTCTGCAGCCATGCTGTGGGATAGTGTTCTTGAATTCTTTTAGACAGGATACGCGTCGAATGGTGAATATACCTAGCTCTACAGTAACAGGTGAACTGATTCACGTAAATACAAGTGGGCAGATGCGATATCTTGTCCTTAAGGCTTCTTCAGACCAATGATATAACACACTGTTATTAACACTGTATCACTGTATGCTGTAGTGAATAAACTTAGATAATCCTGTTCCCTATTTTGAAAAATTTCCATTAATTTTCAGTCATTATATTGTGAAATTGTAAAGGTTATTTTTTCCAAATTTTATTGGACCCATTGTGTTAGAGACTAACACGCGAATAAAAGTAAGCATCCATGTTCTATCTACCAAGATATAGAATGAAACCATGCACTAGGAGTTATCGGTGCTATTCCCCTATTGTAATAGTTTGTTAACTAAGGCTTTGGTACAATGATGATGGCTTCATTACAAACCCACTTTCATTCAAAAACGAAATCCATTGTGTTATGTACTGCTGCTGAGTGAGTTATTAGAGTTTTCCTCGTCGCCAATTATGTTATGTACTCGTCGAGTAGTTAATAGTCCTGACGCAGAAGAGAGGGAAATCAGAAGACCACCAGGTTTAGGATGATACTTGTATTTTCCAGACAAGGAAAATAAATGTCACACAAGAGTGTGAGTGATATGGTACGTAGTGTACGAAACGTAGGAAACAAGAAATAAACAAGTGTCTAATACAAAAGTATATATGAAAATGGCTAATACACATAAACCAATAATAGACAGTCTTAACATGATTGGTTGTAATGTCATGTGACAACAAGGTCATACATGTTTATTTAGTTAGTGGACAGACAGAAGCATATTGTCAGTTATAATGAAATATCGATACATATACACATAGCAAAATATAATAGACTGTCGAAAACAAAACACACATGTGGATACATATCACATTGATTACAGTATTTCATCATGAGCTGACATTGGTTAGAGAACCATTGTAAAAACCTACAGGGAGTACTGAACACCTGTTTCGTCCTAGTTTGGGACTCTTCATCAGTACGCACCCACCGCCACTCGGGGTTCGAACCCAGGACCTTCTGGTTACAAGGCTAGCTCGTATAGCATTAAGCCATTGAGGTCGGCCTATGTCATGAATTGGCAGAAGTTAGAATTCATGGGCTGGCCATTGGATTGGATCCCAGTGGCCTAATGGTCTACGAGCTCGCTAGCCTTGTAACCAGAAGGTCCTGGATGGGTGCATACTACTGAAGAGTCCCAAACTAGGACGAAACAGCTGTTCAGTACTCCCAGGTTTTCCAATGGTTCTCTAACTAATGTCAGCTCATGATGAAATCCTGTAACCAATCAATCAAATCCCTATAAACCAACACTTGAAATCCATTGATGTTAAGTTAAAGCAATCAATTCATAGTCCTAATATTGGTGATTTTAATGAATAAAATACCACATTGTATACTTTAAGTACTGCTTGGTTCTCAGATGGTATCTACTTGTGAGATATTCTTCCTTAAGATTAAATTTAAATTCCATAAATGTGTCCAAGTAGCATTTTTTGTCTTAGCAATACGTCTTATACTGTGTCGACCAGTTTAAGTGATGCATTTTGATTATGAATGCCTTGTGGGCACAAGAAATAAGTCTCAGCTTTTTTTCGATTACAATCTTCTTTTGAAGTATTTTACTTTAAAATTTATAGTTTTGATCAAAGAAATAACATTTGTCCGTGCAGTCCTGTGGCAGTGGAAAGTATCGTATTCACTTCAATAGTATAGTTTTCATCCTTCAGTGGAATTATGAATGAATCTACAACGTCTAGAATAAGCCGAGATACAGTGTGACTTGATTATTACTATTTTCAGTGTGATATATGATGTTATCATTTTATAAAAGATTTTATTATTGATTAGTTTATTGTTTTAACATTTTTATTTTATATCATTTATTTTTATAGTGGTCTCACAAAGGTCATTCCTTTTATGAATATTCCTATGAACGTATTGCAGAATGTGGTGTATGTGGATTTCTACTGTGGGGTCTTAATTTACAAGGTTTCAATTGTAATAGTAAGTTTTTGACTTTTATTTGTGTCTGTCTGTCTGGATTCAACATAGAACTTGGCACCGAAGTGCAGCAGTTCGAGTTGCCACGTTCCAAATAGCACACAGAGGTAGACAAGAAGATGAGTGAAGAGAATCAATAGAGTTTGACAAATATAGGAGTGAAACAGAATGGGTAATGGTAGAAAGGAATATGAAAGATTACAGAGACTGAATACATCTGCGCCATTGACAACGATTTTGAGCCATGTCACCTATTGTCTCCAGCCATTGATTCCTAGAGTCCCGAGGGCCCCAACCCGGGAGTCTGCATCTCCCTACCTGACTCAGTTTAACTGTCAAGGATTTCATGGATTGATGACATGTTTTTGTTTGGCCACCACTGCCTCTTTTCCAACCTGAACCTATATCAGCTAACAATGCCCGTCGGGGGAGGCGGTGGTTAGGCATGCGCACCACGTGACCTAGCGATCTTAGTCTATGTAACTTTATAGCCTCGTCGATTGATTTTCCCTCTTTGCCCAACACTCTACGCCTAACGTCAACATTACTTACCTTGTGAAACCACCTAACGTGAGACAGAGATCGCAGACATCTATGATCGAAAGCAGTCAACCTTTTCATGTCTTCAACGCGTATTGGCCATGTTTCAGAGCCATAGAGAAGGACGGAGCGAACTGATGAGCAGTACACACGTCCCTTGGTTGATAACCGGATGTCACGCCTACGCCAGAGATGGTGTAAGTCAGCGAAAGCACCTCGAGCTTTCCGGATCCGTGCTAAGATTTCATCGCCAATCAGTCCGTTGGTGCTAATACAACTTCCCAAGTAGGTGAAGTGGTCAACATGTTCTATCACTTCACTCCCTATCACTAAGTTAGGAGTTGACGTGGTCCAGTCCTGTAGCAGCATCTTACATTTTGCAGGGGCGAATCGCATGCCAAACATACGAAGATTGCTGCTCAAGGTGTTCAGAAGACTCTGCATTTTGTCAGCATCCTCCCCTAACAGGACTATGTCATCTGCATATTCTAAGTCCATTAGATTATTCCCTGGTAACAAGTCGATTCCTAAGTCACTACGTTCAGTTAAGGATACTTCCATTAGCATATCTATGATGAAGTTAAACAGAAATGGGGAAAGTGGACATCCCTGTCGGACACCACTGGTTGTTACTAATTCAGATGACAATTCCCCATAAGCCCTTACACGACTACGTGAGTTTGAATAGAGTGCCTTGATTAGTGCAATGTACTTTCTTGGCACTCCCTTCACAGTCAGACATTGCCATAGTACTTTTCGGTCCACGGAGTCGAAGGCCGCCTTCAAGTCAAGAAATATGACAATTGTTGGACGCCGAAAAGTGTGTCTATGTTCTAGAATCTGTCGAAGAGTGAAGATATGATCTATGCACCCTCTACCTGGTCTAAAGCCTGCTTGATTTTCCCTTGTCTGTTCCTCCCGAGTTCTGCTTAGTCTATGCATGATTACTGAGCCTAGGATTTTAGAGACTATGTTCGTTAGGCTGATCCCCCTATGATTATCACACGAGGACTTGTTTCCCTTCTTGAATATCGGTATAATGAGTGACTTACCCCAGTCTGATGGTACTGTCTCTGATTCCCAGACTTTGCCTAGTACCTCAGTTAATCTACAAACTAGTATGTCACCCCCATATTTAAACACCTCCGGAATAATTCCGTCGGGTCCTGCCGCTTTGCCTCGTTTCAAATTACTGATAGCTTTTGTAACCTCACCTACAGACGGCGGACCAGTGTCTATATCCCATTCGGGTACGTGGTGGATGGCGGGGAGGTTCAGTGTGGCTGTAGGCAAGTTAAATTGTTCCTCAAAGTGTTCTTTCCAGCGTTCAAGGCGTCTATCCTGAGAGCTAATTAAGGAGCCATTTTTCTCAGAAATAGTCTCACTTATGAATTGCCTTTTCCCGCCCGATTCTGTGATGAGTCTAAAGAGTTGCCTAGTGTTGCCTATCGCCAATGCTTTTTCCATCTCTTTCGCCTTTGTCACCCACCACTGTTCACGGTCCTTGCGGAGACTTTTAGTAAGTTTCCTTTTGTGCAGCTTTCGCTCCTCATTGAATTCGGAGCTCGCCGGAATAAGTCTTCTAGCATCTATCAGTTCGGATGAGGCAGTCGAAATCCAGTGGTTTTTACTCACCTTTGGATTTGTCTTATTCACAGCTTTTACAGCTGTATCTATAGCTGACTGAATATTCTTCCAGGCTTCTCCAGGGTGAGCACAGCTGTCGGATTCAGATATGCGTTTAGCTAGTTCTTCCTCAAATAGGGATTTAGTTTCCTGATCGAGCTGGGGGCGTAATGGTTTTACCGCCAGCTGTTTCCTACGTCCGTTCAGTCGTAAGCACACACGAGCCCGGACCAGTGCGTGATCGGTATCTACACACGTGTTCCAGAAGGAGCGACAATCTCCTACCGACCCACGCCAACGATAGCTTATTGCTATGTGGTCTATTTGTGTCCAGCGTTGGTTTGATGATGGGGGTCGCCAGGTTAAACAGTGTCTCTCCTTGTGTTTAAAGTTAGTGCTTACAAGAAACAAATGATTATCTGAACAGAACTGTAGGAGACGGTCACCGTTGTCGGTTCGCTGGCACGGAACTCCATAGGTGCCACCGACATCCTTCTCAGATTGACACAATTTCCCTACTTGAGCGTTGAAGTCACCAGCTAGAACGACTATATCTGAGCGTTTAGCCTTTCTCACCAAACTAGACAGCTTTTGGTAGAACTCATCCTTCGTTTCATCCGAACTGCAGTCAGTGGGGGCGTAGGCGGAGATTACGAAAAGGCATCGGCGAGTAGTGCAGTCCTTTCTCCTTCTTACTGATCCGTTCAGACGGACAGCACACATTCGGCTATCTACTGGGATCCAGTCAAGCAATGTCTTTTCTGCCCTAGTACTCAGAGCTATCCCTACGCCAGCTAATCCCCGTGAACTAGCTGTGGCATCTCCTGACACCCTCAAGGTGAATTTTGAAGATTCATCCTGTTGGCCAGGTGGGGTTAGGTGAATAACCACACTTGGGTCTTGTATGCGTGTTTCTGAAACACAACATACATCAATGGCTCGAGATGCCAGGGTCTTAGCTAGTGATGCTTGTTGTCCTATTTGGCAAAGTGTCCTAACATTAAATGCTCCTATATGAAATTGGTGGCGTGGCTTTAGGAGACTATCCGTGGTGGTTTTTTGGCTTTCGTCGTTTTTAGTGGACACAGAGTGAAGAGGGAGTGAGGAGCCATCAAGTAGAGGAGTTGCATCACTGGGGGAAGGTAAGGTAATAGAGATGAAGATGAAGACAAAGATAAGTGAGGATTAGAGAGGTTTTGTGTGCGTTTTGGATTGTGAGGGCGATTGTTACTTCCCGGCTGCCCACACCGTGGAAGTTGGTTGCGTGACCGCAGAGCCCAGGGGACAACTGCTTGTGGCCGGTCACACGCGGCCTGTTTTTGTTCGTTCTTCGTTGTTTTGTGTGCCTCAGTAGCATACTTATCACTCCCGCCCTGTGACACGGCAGCAGGAAGCGCGGTCGTTGTTAATCCGGGCCACGGCCGATCCGGCATGAAATTTTGTGAATTTGTTTGGATCATGGTATTGGATGAGGTAGCTGCTTTTTGTTTAACCGCTATCCAAACAACCTGCCTGGCATGGTAGAACCTCAAGAGACATAAGTCTCAGCCAGCATAGCTTGAATAGATCATTGCGGTGTTCAAGCCCGACCACCACGTCAAGGTAGCAGCTTTCGGTCGGGTGTGTCTAGTACATTGGGTTTATGTGAATTACTAAGAGTGGTGGGTTGTTTTATCTCTAGGTCAATTAAGTTATAAGTGTATACCATCATTGATCAATTTTATTTCGTTCTGATCAACTACATAATCACTGCACCAGGGGGGGTTTGTTAGGTCAAACTATTTTGTGTAATTGTCTCAATAAGATTGTACGTTTCAGTTCCATCATCATCATCCAAATTTGTTTTGGATTACTTCTAATCCTTTCGATTTTTGCTCATTGTATGGTAACATTGTTTTTTCTCTCATTCCTTTCCTTTATGAGTGGAACACGAGGTTTCAACCTTCAGCTCTGAGGGAGTTTCAGTAGAGGAAGTATGTTTTTACACAGTGGAATCGCTACCCCCACACCACCCTTTCTTATTCACTGGGCTTAGTACCGGTTAAGCGAGGTTTAGAAGTGTACCAATAGGGGATCTAACTAGGATCACGTGTGTGTGGTTGACGAAGATCCTATCACTGAGCCAACGACGCACGTGACACATCTTAAATTCTGTTATGGTTACTCAGTTAGTGTTGTAACGACAGAAGACAAGGCCCAGGCAACAAATCGTTTATTAAGAAAATCAACATATATTTATAGATTTCTATGTACATTATTGTCAGAGGAGAAGCAACGTTTTCTGATTGGTTATTCCGTACGGCTTGTGGCCGTTTCTCAGAAAGTTAGGCCGTATATCTGCGAATTGTATTTGCACGCGTCAAGTCTTCTGTGATTGTTTGGTGAATTCCTCAAGGTTAAGCTTTGTTATTGTTTTTTCTCATGACCTCAATTCGGGACGTAACACCGACGTAAATTGCCGTCTGCGATTTTCGGCTTGCAGCCAGCCTTCATCACAGTATAACTTATAATAGTATCCTTAATTGTCACATATTTCTCTGCCTTATCACTCAGTAAAGTCAAGATTATTAAATGCTAAAAAGCTAGCCAGTTTAAATGAAGGTGTCAAAAAAGAAGGCAAAATGACAGTCGCAAGAGTCAATTTAAGTAAATGGGAAGATTTGACTTCTCAACAATGAGCAATCGCTGTGTTAAGGGTTTCGCGTGTTTTCAGAAGTACAGGAAATTCTACAGTCTGTACGATAGACAAAGAGAGAGTATCAGGAGTTATTATCTTGATAAATTATATTCGCAACTTTATTTGATAAATCGATCTGTTTTTTTATTTGGTGGGCCTAGTAAATAAATTCACATGAAATTGTATCATACAAATGTCCAAATTCTACTGTTGTCTCCATTTTGGTAGTAGGATTCGCACAGATATTTTTTTTAGTGTTGTGTAGTGTTTTCCTGTAAATTTATATCATAGCTACACATGTAGTGTGGCAATGAGTTTTGAAACACTCAAGTCTGTGCAGTAGAATTGCTCATCTCAATATTTTTAAGTATCAATCCATTGAGTCCAATGACTCTTAGCGAAGTCATTTCAACGGTTAGGTTATACCTTACTGCTTAGGTGATTGTGTAATCTTTCCAGATTAGTTTAAGGATTTCATCATGAACTAATATCGGTCAGAGGACCATTGGAAAACCTGGTAGTATTGGACAGTTGTTTCGTCCTGGTTTGGAACTCTTTATCAGCACGCTCCCCACGAGGTTCTAAACCAAGACCATTAAGCCACCGGGAGCTGATCCAGTAGTCCATGAATTCCAAATCCTACCAATTCATGATATAGCGCGACCACTATCGAATGTCGTCGCTGGCGAGTGTGTTTGTCCTCCACACCAGATTACTTTAGATATTACTAGCAGATTTTCCAGATTACTTCATTGTGAACTTCTTTCGTAGGATTGGTAAATAATTCAACGGAAGTATACCCACGGTAAATATTAACCGTATTTAAACTTATAGTAAGATTCTGGTTGCTAAAACTAAGCTACCTCTGGTTCTGTGGACTGATAACTACTTTGATGGTGTGATGTATTGCCTTGGATTGCTTGGATCTTTTACTGATCTCTTTTCTCTGGTTTGTTCAACTTATGTCTATTTATAATTTCACTCTTTGATAGACTGGTAGGCTTGTATGCTTGTATAATTGATGCTTACCAGCCATCAAGTAAGTGGCAATAGCTCTTATTGTCTTATGCTCTTACCTTTTAAATTAGTTAATCGTAAGATAATTCACGTCTTATTACATAGCTACAGGCAATTTTTATTTTTCGTTTAATGTTCATTTCTCTCAGTAGTTTAAGTATCTCAAGCTTCCGTTTATTTTCAAGTTTTGGTAATATTGAACAACTTTTATTCCCGTTTTTTCATATCTACCTAATGCAAAATATTTGCTTTGTTTTTTTTGTAGACTGTGATCTATTTGTTCACTTAAAGTGTAAAAATGGTATTCGAGACCAATGTAGTCGAGAAGGTCGTAGAACCGGTGGAGTATCTGTCAACGTTTTAAATGGTATACTCGGGAGTATACCAAATTTAACTGTGGATACTAATACTTCGGGGAACAATATGAACCAGACAAATGAAGCGTATAATAAATTATCACTGCCTATCGCTCATATTGGTCAAAATGATGTCATCTATCATAGTAGGTTATTTCTCATTGAATCGATGTACATTATTATATATATATTTTTTTGCTATATTCTTCCCTTGAATGTTACCGAATTCGATCTAGGTGTTTATACGTCCTAAAACTGTCACTCATTACATCAGTAATAGTTTGCCAATCCAAGAGTATTACAGATAGTTCCAGTCATAAAAAAGTATGAATTATAAAGGGGATTCACTTAGACAACATTTCAGTACGTTGATCAGCTTAGCTTTTTTCTCATATGTGTGTGTATTCACACTGAATGCATCTTTGTATTCATCTTTTCCTTTGACTTTACTTTGACTTCTTCACTGTCAGTTGTGAACAGTACTACGTTTTTAAACTTGGCGGTTAGCGTTTACTTGTAATCAGAACATAAACGATAACAGATGTTTAGCTTTTGTCATGGAAAGCACCTTGAATATGAATTTCTCAAATTCTGTGTAACTTGTCGACATCCTGGACACTACTGATTCAAGTTGTATTATGTGTATTTGTACCTGTGAGAAGCTAGTAATGCTATTACTCAGAGTGTGAGATAATCAGCACTGTTTGACTATAAAGTTGTTTTTAAGATAGGTAGCTGTTGATGTTTATTTGACTATGGTTTGGCTCCTCTAGTATATTATATGTGCGTAATGACAGAAGGAGAGAGTCAGGCAACAAATCGCTTATTCGGGAAATCTACAGATATTTATAGATTTTTATGTACATTAATTATTCGTTATTATTAGCAGAGAAACAGCGTCTTCTGAATGGTCATTTTCTCACTGGAAGTTATTCTGTCATCTCTTTGTGGCCATTTCTTTTTGAAGGTCAGACCATATATCTGCTAATCGTATTCGCCCACGCAATCCGCTGTGATTGGTTGCTGAGTTTGTTTTCGTTTTTTTTTCTCATGGCCAAGATATGGGACGTAAACATTGACGTAAATTGTTGTCTACCAATTTTAGGCCGGCATACAGCTCTCACCATATATATATATATTATTCGCTTTGTATTTCAAGGGGAACACAAGGTCTGAAGCTTTGAAATTCTGGTAGTTGTGATGTTCTTGTTGTGCTGTGAGTGGTTGCTAGCCGCACGCTCAACTACCCCTCTTTTCCGGGCTTACTATCGATTAGTTATCTAAGCCACATTTAGAAGTGTATATGCCGACTATCGGATCACCTGGTTGGCTAGCGAGTATTATACTCTTGAACCACCTGCATGAACATATATATATATATATATATATATATATATATATATATATATAGTATTTCGATTTGCATCCATCTGTTTGTATTTTAACGTGAAATACAATGAAATATTTTTACATTTGTATGTCATGATAATACGTCTAAATTATCTTTTATTTTCCCTTTCTTTTAAAAACATCCTTTTCCCTGCCACAATATAAATTTGCACTAATGACTAACAATGCTTACTGTATCTATCATGCGAACTTACATTGATAACCGTTTAATATTAACACTACTCCCAATAATAATCATAATAATACACTGTAGGTTTCACAACTCACCGCCGATGTGGTTCTGATAGTCGTCCTAAGAAAAAGAAGGCTAATACAATGAGAGATTTTAATTTATTGCCTTCGTTTCTTCATCGGAACTATGGTATTTAGTTACTTTTGTTAGTATAGTATATTATTTTATCTTCTTTGGGGAGTGATTCTTTGGTTTATATTTTGTTTGATTTGATATTGGTGACAGGTTTATATTTATCTATCCTTTTGGTTCAGTTATTGTGAATTATATGGATAGATCTCAGTTACTCACAGTCAGTTTTTTGTAGGCTCACTAGTACTACTACGCCGTTAACCAGTTTGAAGTGAAGGTGAAGTGTGAGACTCGAACCTGGGACGCGTTGTCTGGACATTCAAATGCCTTAAGTCAATAGTGAGCCACATCTTCACATATGTTTCATAGTAGCTTGTGAAAGATAAGTTGTTGAGGTTCAGTATTTTTCATGCTTGGTGAATACTATCTACACTTATTTCCATCCTTTTTCTCGACAACGCAGACAGACAGACAGAAAGAGTAATCATGTGATCACAGCATCAGAATAATGTTTGTTTCCTTCACACGTGTGCTTCGTAGGAGGTAAATATAGAGCGAAAATCAATCGGTTGTTGTGATGAATAAAAGTGGCTCAGTGAACTCTCGCTGTTTGGAGCAGTCAATCGGGTATACTGATCCAGGCAATAGTAAAGAACAGACACCAACTTCAGACGACTTTGAAAAAGCCAATCAGATTCTTCTAGGTGAAAAGTGGTACTTAATTTACAGCGAAGTGTATCTACGATATATGTGATGAAAATGAATCATTTAGGGTATATGCCTCTAATATGCTGCGAAAACTGGTCCCAGATTCTTATAGAAGTTGTTATAGACATATGAAACCAATGTATTCTCTATTTCTTCAGATGTAGCAGACACTGGTTGCATACACGCAATATATTACTAAGGGAGAGCTTTGATTTCGAGAAGAAAGTGTCTAAAAAATCACCAATTGTGTACTACTTACCAACTTATACAGACTTCCTCATATAAAGTGGTTGCATCTGAATGTTAAACCGTCGATTACCCGGCGGCAATACTTTTCCAGAGTTATTATCCCTCCACTTATGCATGTTTTATTCCTCCCTATCAACACATTATCTGCAGAGAAGTCAAAAACCAAATCTAGGAGACACTTTCAAAGAGGATAATAACACGGATCTATTTGTAATGCTGAGCTATCTGATTGGTCAAATCAAGGTCATTTAACTTTGGTGTCTATTGTTTACTCTTGCCCTGATCCACTCAACTGAAATTTCGTATTCATTAGTGATTTGTCAGTCATGTATATCTCTGCAGTCGTCTTTAAGAGATGTATATCTTCCACTTGATTGATACCTGTACCATTTAGAGATTTTATCACTAAACAACATCGTATCAGTCAGCTTATAATTCTTAATAAGTAAAGAACAAGGTTAGTGTGTGCGTGTATTAAAATGTGTTATTCTACTTTATACGATTGACAGTCGATACATTCTACTATAGGAGATACAAGTTTAAGTCATCTGTTCTAGCTAAAAATTAGCTTGAGTGTCGCACTACTACTAAAACTTATATGTTTGTTTATTACTTTTAACCGTCACTATAATTTATATGAGATACACTTCCTTCCTCTAATAACTATGTCTAACATTCACTTACGCCTACTTATGCATAATAATTGTTAGGTGTTTAGTGCTAACCCACATAATTATTGGATTTTTCAAGTAAACATACATAAATGTATGTGTATCACACTAGATAGTGTTAGACAATTTTTTTAACAATTATATTTTTAGAATATTCTTTTTTATTTTTTCAACTCGAAGTTTGTTTTCATAAGTTTGTGTTAATTCACTGTTCTTTTGTTTTAATTAGTATTTTCTTTTCTCTGTTTTTTGGCTGTAATTATTGCACATTCATTCACACCAGGTTATTGGTTCCTGTGTGCATTCACGGTGAAAAAGTACTTTCTTTTCAAAGGTGTATTTCATAGTGAGTAAAAGTATTGATTAGCTATGAAGCAAGAGCTCTGTTGCCTATTAGAAAAACCCACCAGTCAGCAAGGCGTATCTGCAACCTCGGAGGAACTCATGTCCCTTCTGAGATTCGAACCCGCATCACTCAGTACTGCAGTGATGCTGGGCCACCTAGCATGGTGGCCACATTACAAACCTGAGTGATGAAATCCAGTCTGCACCTAAGGTAGGACTAGACACACACATTACACTAGTTGCTGACTAATGGTCAATCAAAAGATAAATTCTAATGGGAAATTTTGCTTCACTTTTCAGAATGCCTTATAGGTTAAAAATGTTTTTTAGGATAAGAACACTTCTGTGAGATAGTAATGAAAGCAATAGAAAGTGCCTTCCCTGTCAGTCCACATGAAAGGCACAAGACTGCAGTAAGTACAGTGCCTTGTACGAGATTATTGGGAGCTGCCACACGGGGGCGCTAGGGATTCTGACGCTACACATCGTCAAACCCACAACTTCCACAATATCAGGCACAAATGTCACTCGAATCACACTCCTCCATCTACTCTTCTCTACGACACGCCAACTTCATAGAGAAACACACACTCTTGTCACATCAAACACTCCAGTAGGCATCATCACTCACCGGGACACCTTCACATACATACACATTACGCGGTCTCTCTACCGTTTCTTCAACACTGATTGACACTGACACCCTACCAGCGCCGGTATGTTTCCTCGTTATCCTCATCACAGAACAAGTAGATACGATCTACACCAACCCTGTCCCACACACCACAGTCTGTCGATATCCAACCAGTTGCAATCATGTCTCGCCTGCAGAACACACTGACACATTCACACCTGATCACAGTCAGTCAATCCGTCATTCAATCAAAACGTTGATCAGGTCGGCGTCAGTGTGGATATATATATATATATATATCACTATTCCGAGTGACTGAAAAAATAGTGACCACATGATTGCCCCTAATTTGTTCAAGTTTTCAAAATCACCAGCTCTTTCATTCATTCTGCTAACCCTTTAACCGCTATGACCAAAACAGTGTTTTAAAGCTTTTTTTTGAAAAATCTGTATCCTATAAGCTATTGACAGATTACGTCGCTCACTTGTGTTTTACTCACTTAACAGCATTAGTACGTCTAATCATCAGTCATTAGATATCTTTTGGTTTCATCAGTGTGTGTGCTTCTTTCTTTTTCTGAAGAGTCTTGATAAACTTCATTAGTTTTCCATATTTTATGATTCTTATCCTCCTGATGATCAATCAGGATGCTCAAATGTATGCTAGAGGGCTGCTATCTAACTGTTCGTTTCATACAGTCTGTGTTCTGCTCTGTTTGCTATATGATTATATCATTTTAACAGTTATATTGAAAATGCGATTATTATTGCACAATAGTTCGCTTGAAATAGTCGATTTTAGCTGGGCAATCACATGAGACAATGGGTAACTTTATTTACCCCTCCCTTTCTCTTCAGTTTCTAGAAAACCCTGTGTGATATTTAAGTTGGAACACGTGTCACTGACAGTGTTCTTACCTCATTCCATATCGATTAAATACATTTGTCCTTTTGGATAAATACACTAGTCACAAGTTTATAGAAAAGCTTAGTATATAAACACGATTCTTGTCAATTTGTGCAATCTGTCAATCATAAAGTATGCCAGAAGTCAGTGTCACAAGGATCTTAATCAGTGCAAATATTATTTACATTGAAGTTTCATCAGTTTATTCTATCCTGTTGGATGGTTGATCTTTCATGTTACATTATTGTCTATTTAATAAATGTATAAACCAATACTTGAATATCAATTAGATGCTCACTGGCGACTAACCTTATTCAGGTAGGTTCTGGTTCTGGGTCTCTGGTGGGAAGTAGTAACCAGTAGGGTGCAGCGCGTCGTTTGTGAGGACAAATACTCGAAGACATTGGCTAGTGGTTGCGCTATGTTGTGAATTAGCAGAAGTTAGAATTTGTTGACTGGTCATTGGATCGGGTCCCAGTGGCTGAATGATCTACGAGCTTTCTAGCCTTGTAACCAGAAGCTCCTGGGTTCGAACTGTGGTGGTGGATGCGTACTGTTGAAGAGTCCAAAACTAGGACGAAGCAGCTGTCCAGTACTCCCAGGTTTTCCAATGGTTCTCTAACCAATGTCATCTCATGATAAATTCCTCCAACTAATCAACCAAATCCCTACAAACCAATACTTCAATGTATAAACATTCACTAATTTACTGTTACCGGTCATTGTGTGTTCCACCCTAACTATAACACTTTGCTATTTATTTGCAGTGGATTAATTCACACAGTTCTTTGAAGTTACCGTATATTATGTGTGTATCAAAAGATAATTTTTGATTTGATTGTCTGTTTTTTATTTTCACTAGATTTTATATGACAGTGACGAGTTTTCTTTTGTGCATATACCATATAATTTTGCTGATTCCCCCACCCCCCCACACACAACTATTTGTTTGTTACCAAGTTCTTCCCATATATTTTGCTTTATTCATATTTAGCCACTAGTGCAGATCATCTTTCACATGAAGTGATGCCAGCTACGGATGATACAGCGAATTCATCAGCTCATGATTCTTCTAATTCAGGTCTAATGGAGACTTCATCAGTAGTAACCAATAATTGTTGTCCTGGTAATGCATCTGTCGGTTATTTATCTCCAGGATTATCTCAAAGAGATTCATTTTCATCAACACTGATATCGTCTACATCGACATCAGTTGGCGGGAATAGTGCTGTTCAAAGTCCTTCGGAGTCAAGTGGACAAACTAGTGGTCAATTTGATAAACAAAGACTGAGTGGAGAAGAATCTGGTTTATCAATGAATGATCCACGTAAGTTTTGCATCGATTTTCTGCCATGTTTCTTTTCTATTTTGCTCATAGTAAACATATGGTTCATCAAAGGGGTTGAAGTCTAGAATTCTCACTTCTAGTATACTTAATTTGTCTCCAAACTTCTTTATCTAGGTAACCCTTTCAAAACAATCGTCATTATCTGATATATTGGGTTTCGTTTGCATTTTGTTCTATGAGTGACCTTCGCCTTCTAAACTCTTATTAACAGACGAAGTTTACGAAGTAACAAAGAATTCAAGTGTTGGTTTACAGGAATTTGATTGGTTTCAGGATTATTTCATCACGAACTGACATCGGTTAGAGGATTATTGGAAAACCTGCAGGAAGTACTGGACATCTGTGTCGTCCTAGTTCGGGACTCTTTATCAGTACGCGCCCACTGAGGTTCGAATTCAGGTTGGTGGTTTAACGGTCCTGGGTTCTAACCCCTGTGGCGGGTGCGTACTGATGAAGGGTCCCAGATCAAGACGAAACAGCTTTCCAGTACTCCCTGTAGGTTTTCCAATAGTCCTTTAACCGATGTCAGTTCATGATGAAATCATGAAACATAAGGAAGTTGAAATATACTACGCGTATCGATCACGGCTCAGAATCACTTCATGTTTCGGTTATCATTAATCTTATACAGAATATCTCTAGCTGATGATGTGGATGTTCAGTCTGAAGTGTTCTGTAAGCTGGTGAATTCACATCTAACCTAAATAAGTCAACTTTTCCCCGACTAAATTTATTTTTCGTCACTTTATATTCCATTACTTGCGCACTTAGCAGTCAATATTCTCTCTAGAGTGATGTATACAAATTGAAAACATTCATCAATCATCTGTAACATGTATATATATATATATTTTTTTTTTTTTTTTTTTTTTTTTTTTTTTTTTTTTTACAAATAGCATTAACAACTGCTAGTTAGTGAGATAGACACAGAGCAAAAGTCATAGGTTTAGAACGACAACATTCATCATTCCTTTATGGGTAAATTTTGTTTTGATAAAGTCTCACAGTGTTTACAGTAAACATTACTGCGTAACACTGTGAGACTTTATCAAAACAAAATTTACCCATAATGAAATTACACTCTACCACAGTGCACAAGTTTTATTCTTACATCATTATTTTAGTCTAGAGAATAATTTCTATTTTTGGAATATTCTAAAGTTACATGAGATAAGTCAAAATGAGTCTAACTTCTTTAAATCATCGATTTTCTCTAAGTTTATTTCACATCTGGACAAATAGATATTGTAATGAGGAGAATTACTGACAAATAAGTGTGAATAAGAATAATATTGCAGTGGATTAATCTAAGTCATATTTTCTCTTACCACAGAAAAATGAGAGACAAAGAAGCAAATGAATATGGAAGTAGGTAGTTGATGGCAATCGATAGGTTGTCCCTGACGTAGGTTTCGTGCTTGTTGTCTCTGCTCAGGTGTATCTTCAACTTTGAGCCAACTGGTGTCCCCTTAGTTGGAGATTTAAACCTTTATCAACGAGTGCTGAGATCAGAGACGTTACCTCTGGGCTATTTGTGTTCACGATGAACCTCCTGTAGGACTGCAACAAACACCATGTCACCAAGCTACATGTTTACTCCGAGTGGATGTTAGGTGTTTATAGGGAATCGGCAGGAAGTAGAATATATTTTGTGAAGTTATACGTTAAAGTGTTATATTTTTCGAATAGTTGATTAATTTTAAAGCATATTCTTCAGGGAGTTGATAATAACTGATAGATTTTGTAGTGTCATCTTAAATCCTTCCTAGAATTTCTTGTATTTCTTGTTTGGTATTCATTATATATCATCAGCTTATGACTTAACTTACTGAATTTGTGTGTGTTTGGCTATAAATTAACCACAACTAATTTGAATCAGGTAATCTGCATCTCATTTAGGTCAGCTCGGCAGTCAGTGGACTGATTCATCGCTGCATGTTAACTATGCTTTGCTTTCATTGTATGCTGGTGATCACTTGATGTAATTGAAGAACTTTCATGGTGTGCAGTAAACACTGACATTGTTGATTTCTTTTTGAAGCCTAGGTCATGTAAAAACACAGAAGTTTTAACACATTCTGACTAACCAACCGACTGAGTTTCAACATAGAACTTAGCACCAGTAGTGCAGTACTTCAGGTTGCCCCATTCCACGTAGAAAACAAAGACAGACAAAGTAGGAGGAAAAAGAGGATTCAAAAGTAACGTAATGCTGAGATATGTCATGGGAAAAGAATAGTAACATAAAAAAGCATGAGGGTTCAATGAATTTGTGCGTCTGTGGCACAGGTGTTAGGACTCTCGCCGGCCATGAACATGGTCCGGGGTTCGATCCCCTGCCGACACACACCTTATATCCATAGTCGGCCTGCAAAATTTGGGCTACCGATATCACATGCTAAAAATTCCATATCTGTACCAAAAAATACAATATGGGATCAAGTTGTAATCAAAAAAAAAAATTAAGAACGATTTTGACCCAGACTTCTAATAGTCCCAAGTTATTAGTTCATAGAATCCCGAGTGCGGCAACCGGGCAGTCTACATCTGGGTAAAGACAGTTAGTCGTTTCATGAATAATCCCCATCCAAGCATGAATCAAAACAAAACACTAGTTTAGAGAAGAGTCTCTTTTCGGCGAATTCATTTCCTTAG